GTGACTAGGCTAGCCTGGTCTACATGGAGCTAAGTGCTACACAGTGAAGCCCTGTCTTAAAAAAAGAGAAAAACCAAAAACCAAAAGGCAAATACAAAATAAAGGAGCTGGAGAGATGGCTCAGCAGGTTGGAACACTGGCTGGTGTTTTCGAGGACCAGGGTTTGGTTCCCAGAACCCACGTGGTGGCATACAGCCATCTCTGACTCCAGTTCCTAGGGATTCAATGCTCTCTACTGACCTCCTCAGATAGTAGGCATACAAGTGGTGCACGTACATGATGGGTCTCCCTGGGCCACTGGTCAGTGAGGGAGGAGGAGGCAGAAGCTGAATGCAGGTTCAGACGGCTGTGAATACACTGGACACAGCCTTCTGGGAGTCTGCTTCAGTGAGATAGTACAGATTTTTATTTTTGTTTTTCAAGACAGGGTTTCTCTGTGTAGCCCTGGCTGTCCTGGAACTCACTCTGTAGTCCAGGCTGACCTAAAACTCACAGAGATCCACCTGCCTCTGCCTCTGCTGGGGGAAGGGAGTCCTCCATTTGGCACCAAGCTCAGAGAGCTGTCAAGACATAGTGGACTGCAACCTTAAGCAGTAGAGCCCATATCTACCTGTGTGTGTGTGTGTGTGTGTGTGTGTGTTTAACATTTTTAACATAAAATTGAGCCTTCAAAAGTAAAATAAAATAAAAATGCCAATTATTATTCTCCTATTGTTTAATCAGTGGATGAACATAGTGGGTAATTGGTGTGCCATTGGTGAAAAGGTGTTAACTCTTCCTGCCAGCCTAGTCCCAGTGTTGCGTCAACCCCAAATAACACATGCAGACACTATATTAGTTTTAAGTTGTTGGCTGGTGACTAAGGTTTCTTATTTGCTAGCTCTGTCTAAATTAACCCATTTCTAATAATCTTAAGTGTTACCACGTGGTCTTCTCTTCCTGGAGAAAAGGTCCAGGCCTCTTACTCCATTGGGGTCTATATCGCGTCTGCTCAGTGTCTCTGCAGGGAAGAGAGAGAAGAGAGCAATTTCCTGGTTGTTCTTGCTTATGTACAGTTCCTGCCTGGATCACATAGCAACTTCTCTTTACTACATTTCCCAGAATTCTCCTTGTCTCTCAGTCCTACCTATCTTGTTTCCCTGTTGGCCAACAGTGCTTTATTCATCAACCAATAGGAGAAACATGTACAGAAGACTTCCCCCATCAAAAAGGTCTGTTGAAAGTGTATTACATATATTGTGGATGTGTATAAGGAAGTTAGTAAATGTATTTGGATTATAGGTGAAATATATCACAGAAGAGGAATTAATTTTATTTCTCACATTAATGTTGGGTCTGAATGAATGAAACATGTCACATGGGCTTCTGATTTCATTGATGTAGTAGTTGAAGCTGCTCATGGAAACATTCAGCACCCTGGGCCAGACACCTTTCTTGGGTACCAGAAGGGTGTCATATATAATTTTACTTAATATTACCATTGGTGGATGAGTTGGAATGAAAACATTTCTTTTCATTTAATTGCTTATTTTCTAAATTAGTCTGCAGTTACATTTATTTTAGTTTGATATAACAGATTACAGGTTGGGATGAATGTTGGGATTATGCGATATATATTGAAAGCTGCAAAACCTTGCTGGTCTACCTTTTCACCATGCACAAATACATATACATACCACTGTCAATTACAGTTATGACACAGGAACCAGTCCATGCAAGGTAGTTTCCCCATGAAGGTTCTTAAAGGGAGTTCATTATTAAGATATCCATATATCTAGCACCAACGATGTACAAAGAACTGAAAAACTAAACATCAAGAAAATAAAAAATCCAATTTAGAAAAAAAAAAGATATCCATTTATCAGTTGAGGTGGAAATCAAGGGAAAGATCCTTGGGTAGATGATGGAAAACACTTTATTTATTTGTACCTAACAGTTTTTGTTCTGGAACAGGGTTGTACTATGTAACTCTGTCTAGAATGGAACTTACCATGTCTTCATGGTGGCCTTGAACTCACAGAAATCCTCCTGTCTCTGCCTCACAAGTGCTGTAATTAGAGGTATGCATTACCACACCCAGCTTGCGGTTTTTATTTTGTTGTAATGAAATATAACAGACTGTTAATGTGGTTTTCGGCTGCTTCTTCCTTTGGTGCATGTGTTTGTATAAATGTGCATTCGTGTGAGGGATACACAGGGTTTCCTCATGTTGTGAGTGAAGGATACACAGTGTTTCCTCATGTTGCATGTGAGGGATACTGGGTTGGAAACAGTGTTTCCTCATGTTGTATGTGGTCAGTGTTTCAAAGCTATTGCCCTAGGTGAATAACTCTGGAGAATGTTTTGTTGTTTATAGTCTGAAATCCAATGGGCTCTCAATCCACGCATCGCTCTAGTAATCTCACAGTGGAACAATTCCTTCAAGATCAAATGAAGTAGTCACCTAGACTTAGCAGGCAGACCCATAATAAGTCCATCAGATTTTGTCATATACGCAGCAACGCTCTTTCTTCACAAGCTGCTCTTTCTTGACTCACATGTTGTGGTGGTTAAATTATTTGGTTCAGTGATCAGAGAGAAGGCTCAGTGGAAGGGCCCATACTGTTCCTCCAGAGGACCCGAGTTCAGTTCCCAGCACTCAAATCAGGTGGCTCACAACCACCTGTAACTCCATTTTCCAGTAACAGTTTTATAATGATAGGAAGTGGTGAAAATGGTGCCAGACAGTTAAGCTGCCTTTATGGTGTGGGAGCTTAGGCCTTTTTATTTTGGTACTTTGCAGTCATAATAGTTTTCATTTCTAGTTTGTTGCTTCTATTACTAACCAAGTTTTGCAGAGCCAAATCTTGGTTCCTCAGGTCTTGAGCTGAGACAGTTACCACACAGGTTAAGCTAAGAGATAGGATTGTTTCTTTCAGTGCCCAGTGAAGGGCAGGATCTGGGGGTTCAAGTTCTCAGACCAATTACCCACCTCTGAGTCCTAGCAGGTGAAAGAAGTGAGGGGTTAGGTGTCCAATAAGTGGGCAGAATGTTTATAACTTCTCCAGGAGTGTGACATTCCATGAATTCTGTCCCCACTTTCACCTGACCTTGTTTGCCAGTTCCTAGGATGTCATGAAAATTGTAAATTATCATGTTCTCTGGAATGTGTCATAATTACCTCATGACAGTATGAGGGGGGAAGGGGCTACTAGCTAGAAAGAGAGTAGGCAACAGAATCAGTTTGAACCAGCCTGGCTTTGCTGGATCTGACATCTTGTTTTTTTTTTTTTTTTTTTTTTTTTTCT